TTACCACGACAAAAATTATTATAAAAAATAATGCGATTAGTAATTGTGAAAAGAGATTTAACAGAAGTTGAGAAAAGGCGTATCGTCCAAGAATATGTGCTGCAGTGACATGTGGCCAGCAGTCTTGAGACATTCAGGCATGCTCCCATTCTGGAAAAAATACTAAAATATTGAAGTATAAGTCAGAATCGAAGAATGTGTTGAAAAGTAATTATAATAGAATGAAGTAATGATTGTTTTCCTATTTCAAAGGAAGCGAAATGGCATTCCCTTGAGTATTATTCAATTCCTTCCTGCTAATTAAAAATTAAATAATAACAAACAAAAATGAAAATTGGCAAGGGAAGCATGAGTGATAATTCGTTGCCGTTGCCATGGTTTCGATCCTCGGACACCTTATCACGTGTGAGTAACTTGTACGAGTAACTTGTCGTTCGTTCTCTCTTTTGCTTCAAGGGTTTCTCTCCGGCTTCTCCGGTTTTTCTCTCTCCACAAAAATCAACTTCTAGATTACAATTCAATCTTGGAACGAGGGTCACAGGCTTGTTACCTACTGACTATTAAGTGCTACCCTCGTAAATCAAGGACGATCTATATAATTATTTCAAAATCATTTGAAAAACACAATCAATATTCTTTATTGGTTATTCTTAATGCGAACTAGGATAAATTTTCAAATATTCAAATATAAATCAAAATATAATATCAATATAATTAGCCGTCCGAGTTTCAGGAAAATCCTGGGTCGAGTTGGTATCGCAGGGCATTGTGGACTGTTTTAGGGGACAAAATAGACGCCATCTTGGAAATATATTTACCCATAATGCACTGCGATGCCATCTAAGCCCAGTGTTTTCCAATCTCGAAATGGCTAATTCAAATGAGCTGCTGTGATAGAATACCTGAAATGATGTGCTTGTAGCTCTAACAAAAGAAGTTGATGTAGTGATATCTAGGTCGTCCAACACGATCCATCCAAACCCATTCAGTTCTCCATTATTATACATCAGAAACACTGGGAACATATCCCGACATGCCATGCGGGATGAGATGTTGTACCAATACAACTGGCCTACCATACAGTACAGTTATTAGAACATTTTTTCATGATTATAATGCATGAATACGAGGGTCATGAGACTATTTCTGAGTTCGATAAACAGGATGCATTGTGGTCAACCTTGGGTACAAACAACACTATATAAGGCATGGTGAACACAAGATGTTTGTACCCAAGCTAGACCACAATGCACCATGTTCACTATCTCACAAAACCATATAAGGCATGGTGGACAAAAGATATTGGTACCCAAGCTAGACCAC